GGGTTTGTTCTTCGTTGATTTAGAAGTCAAACTTCCGACAATGTGGACAGATGAAAAGGAGAGCTGGGCAGAGGCAGAGAGAAGAGAAAGATTAGAAGAGAGAAGATCAGAGAAGAGAAAGAGTAAGAAGAAAGAAGATGCAGATGCACGAAAAGGTAGGAAAGTCGCGAAACACTGTGTTTTTCCAATGATTTGGGGCTCCGGAGGGTCGAAAAGTAGGCTCGCTAAGCGGCGGGTGCGGAGCCAGCTGGCCAGATGAGAGATGAAAAATTGCACGCCGTTGTGGCGCGAAGCACATTTCCAAGTCAAAATGTACAAAACACACCAGCTCCGGACCACTTTTGGAAGTTGAGATGTCGAAAAAGTGCACGCGGTTGTGGCGCGAAGCACATTTCAAAGTCAAAATGTACAAAGCACACCATGGTCGACCACTTTTGGAAGTTGAGATGTCGAAAAAGTGCACGCGGTTGTGGCGCGAAGCACATTTCCAAGTCAAAATGTACAAAACACACCATTCTCGGACCACTTTTGGAAGTTGAGATGTCGAAAAAGTGCACGCCGTTGTGGCGCGAAGCACATTTCCAAGTCAAAATGTACAAAACACACCAGGTTCGGACCACTTTTGGAGGTTCAGATGTCGCTTCGCTTCGCTTCGCTTCATTACACTACACTACATTACACTACACTACACTCCACTACACTACATTACATTACACTACATTCCACAACACTACAACTACAACTACACAACTACACAACTACACAACTACATTGCACTACACTCCACTACACTAAATTACACTCCACTACACTCCACTACACTAAATTACACTACAGTACACTACACTACACCCCACTGCGCTACACTACATTACACTACACTCCACTACACTCCAGCACACTAAATTACACTACACTACACTACACTACTCTACACTACACTACACTACATTCCACTACACTCCGCTACAACTACAACTACACAACTACACTCCGCTACACTCAAGTACAGCACACTACACTACATTACACCATGCTACACTCCACTACACTACACTACATTACACTACACTACCTTCCACTACACTTCACTACATTACACTACACTACATTCCACTAGATAGATAGGCAATTAGATGAGAGAGAGAGAGAGAGAGCGATAGATAAATACATAGACAGATCGGTAGGTAGGTAGATTGTCAGAGAAAAAGAGACAAAGAGAGGAGACCTCAAGCACCTTTCGGTCCGTCAGTGGCTTCGCTCTGCCATCCCTGATTCACAACAACCAATCTCTCCTATAGGTTTCCTATTTTTGAAACTTTCGCCACCGCCTTGTGCGGTACTACTGGTATTCATGAATCCTAGTAGGTTAGTAGTAGTAGTAGTAGTAGTAGAAGTAGTAGAAGTAGTAGAAGTAGTAGTAGGAGTAGAAGTAGTAGTAGGAGTAGGAGTAGGAGTAGGAGGAGTAGTAGTAGGAGGAGTAGTAGTAGTAGTAGGGGTAGGAGTAGGAGTAGGAATAGGAATAGGAGTAGGAGTAGGAATAGGAGTAGGAGTAGGGGTTCTAGTAGCAGGCAAGGGGAACAGATGGTTGCGTTTGGCCGATTTCTGACGGGTTTCTGACTGGTTTCTGACCCTTCAGCGGGACTCGTGTCAATTGGATTTAAAAGCAAAGGCAGTTTTTCCTAGGTGTACTAGTGGTAGTGGTGGTGCAGTAGCAGCGGGTGTGGTGGTAGTACTAAGAGTAGTAGCAAATCTAGTAATGAGAGTAAGGATCCATGCGTGAACGCATTCGATTTCAAATTTGGGAGCAAAATAAGCTTGTGCGGTCCGGAAACGGTCCGGAAAACTCACAGTAGTACCAGCAGCACTAGCAGTAGCAGTAGCAGTAGTGGAAATCGGAATAGGAGTAGGCGTAGGAGTTCTGGTGAGAGGGTGAGGGAATAGGCAAGGGAGAGAGAGAGAGGTTGCGTTTGGCCGGTTTCTGACTGGTTTCTGACTGATTTCTGACCCCTCAGTGGGACCTTTGTCATTTGGAAAAAGAGCAAAGGCAGAACTTTCGAAATGTAATAGTGGAGACTGCCATTATAATGCCACTATATATCTTGTAATAGCTACGCCAGAACTCCTACGCTTACTCCTACGCCTACTCCTATTCCAATTTCCACTACCACTACTGCTACTGCTACTGCTAGTGCTGCTGGTACTACTGTGAGTTTTCCGGACCGTTTCCGGACCGCACAAGCTTATTTTGCTCCCAAATTTGAAATCGAATGCGTTCACGCATGGATCCTTACTCTCATTACTAGACTTGCTACTACTACACCGAGGAATTTTTGCTTTGCTTTTCTCCACTTGACAAAAGTTCCACGGAAGGGTCAGAAATCAGTCAGAAACCTGTCAGAAACCCGCCAAGCGCGAGTATCTGTTTCTTTCCCTCACTCTCTCTCCCTTTCTTTTGCTCCCCCCCTCTCCTTTCTAGTAGATTAGTATTAGTAGTAGTAGTAGTAGTAGTAGTAGTAGAAGTAGTAGAAGTAGTAGAAGTAGTAGTAGGAGTAGGAGTAGGAGTAGTAGTAGTAGTAGTAGGAGTAGTAATAGGAGTAGTAATAGGAGTAGTAGTAGTAGTAGTAGGAGGAGTAGTAGTAGTAGGGGTAGGAGTAGGGGTAGGAGTAGGAGTAGGAATAGGAGTAGGAGTAGGAGTTCTAGTAGCAGGGCAAGGGAAGAAAGGGAGAGGGAGGGAAAGAGAGAAAGAGAGAGAGAGGGAGGGAGGGGAACAGATGGTTGCGTTTGGCCGGTTTCTGACGGGTTTCTGACTGATTTCTGACCCCTCAGTGGGACCTTTGTCATTTGGAAAAAGAGCAAAGGCAGAACTTTCGAAATGTAATAGTGGAGACTGCCATTATAATGCCACTATATATCTTGTAATAGCTACGCCAGAACTCCTACGCCTACTCCTATTCCAATTTCCACTACCACTACTGCTACTGCTAGTGCTGCTGGTACTACTGTGAGTTTTCCGGACCGTTTCCGGACCGCACAAGCTTATTTTGCTCCCAAATTTGAAATCGAATGCGTTCACGCATGGATCCTTACTCTCATTACTAGACTTGCTACTACTCTTAGTACTACCACCACACCCGCTGCTACTGCACCACCACTACCACTAGTACACCTAGGAATTTCTGCCTTTGCTTTTAAATCCAATTGACACGAGTCCCGCTGAAGGGTCAGAAACCAGTCAGAAACCAGTCAGAAACCCGTCAGAAACCGGCCAAACGCAACCATCTGTTCCCCTCCCTCCCTCCCTCTCTCTCTCTCTCTTTCTCTCTTTCCCTCCCTCTCCCTTTCTTCCCTTGCCCTGCTACTAGAACTCCTACTCCTACTCCTACCCCTACTCCTACTACTGGTATTACTGTGAGTTTTCCGGACCGTTTCCGGACCGCGCAATTTTCTTTTCTTCTCAAATATGAAAACGAATGCGTTCATGGGTGGATTCTTCTACTAGTGTTGCTACTACTCTCAGAATTACCACTAGCGCCGCTACCACTGCAACGCCGCTACGTATGCCTGAGCACTCCTTCACGTTTGGGTGTCGCGTCATCTGGCAGTGGAGAGACGGGGGAGATTGGGTCGGGTGAAGGGGGGAGGTGCAAGTTTGGATTGAGTTGTTTGCACTCCGCCTGCGCGCCATGTTCTTGTGAGGAAAGGCTTTTGTGCAATTCGCCGTCATTAAGGGGAATGATTTGCTGGCTGCGATGTGGTTTACGAGCCGGAGGGGCGTCTTTCTGGCTGCTGTCAGAGTTTCTACCAGTGTGGATTCCTTTGCTGTCTGGCGTGACACAGCAGTCCGGCCTAGCCGGGGGCATATCGCAATCTTCATTGTCACCTACCCTGACATTCTCCTCCGTTCCTTCAAGATCAACAGCCATGTCTCCTATTGGCCGCTCCAACTGTGGTAGAGTTTGACTGACAGGAGGATTTGTCCATGAGACTGTTGGACTGATAGTAGGTGCAACTTTGGGGACACGTCCTTGCTTGAGATCATCCCTGGATCCACTAGCCACTTTGATCGCATCCCTTATTTCATCTTGACTGGTACACCGAGGAATTTTTGCCTTTGCTTTTCTCCACTTGACAAAAGTTCCACGGAAGGGTCAGAAATCAGTCAGAAACCAGTCAGAAACCTGTCAGAAACCGGCCAAGCGCGAGTATCTGTTTCTTTCCCTCACTCTCTCTCCCTTTCTTTTGCTCCCCCCCTCTCCTTTCTAGTAGATTAGTAGTAGTAGTAGTAGTAGTAGTAGAGTAGGAGGAGTAGTAGTAGTAGTAGTAGTAGGAGTAGGGGTAGGGGTAGGAGTAGTAGTAGGAGTAGTAGTAGGAGTAGTAGTAGTAGTAGGAGTAGTAGGAGTAGTAGTAGTAGTAGCAGTAGCAGTAGAAGTAGTAGTAGAAGTAGTAGTAGTAGTAGAAGTAGTAGTTCAAGAAGTAGTAGTTCAAGAAGAAGTAGTAGTAGTAGTACTAGTAGTAGTACTACTAGTAGTAGTAGTAGTGGTAGTGGTAGTCGTAGCCGTATAACCAATCGCCAACCAATCGCTCAGCCTATCGCGATGCAGGTTTTGGCAATCGCGCAAAGCAGAGTAAACGCATCAATTCATAATTTTGTTATCTGCTTTTACGGACGGCTCCCATATATATACTTATATATGTTATAACATATATTATAACATATTGGAACATATTAGAACTAAATTCCATAAAAATTGCATTGAAGTGAGAGATTGGTGGCTGCGACTTTGCTTCTTGACCCGTTATTCCTATTTTTTTCGATGGCACTTTTTTTTTCGGCAGGTTGTAACTGTTTCAGTCTCTGCTTGAAATCTGCAGCTGTTGTTCACCTGCCAGGGCGCAACGGGGAGACTGGTAGACCCCGGATGATGCTGTTGAAATGCTCAAATCAATGGCTACAATCTGTCCAAAATCAGAAGCCAGGTGGATCAGCAGCTCTGCATGTTTTTTCTGCGCTTCAAAGCTGTGTTGCTTTCTAGTAGGCCTCTCAAATTGGAAAGAATTTGAAATTAGTGCTGCAGTTTCCTCAAGAAATCTCAAGAAATGTACTGGAATTTCACATCACTGCAATTTGATTCAAGCGAGGTGGAATTCGACAGCCCAGCACATGGAACGGGATTGAAAGGCAAGAAGTCAAGTATCAAGCTGCGGCTGGATGTGATGTTGAAGGAGAGGAAGAAGGATCTAGGCACAATCTCACAGCTAGCACTCACATTGAAAGTTTTACTGAAGACGTCCTGGTCGTCAGAAATATACTCGCCAAGGCCAAAGCCAGCTTCATTCGTGAGGACACGAACCGAGGTTGCTTCAGCGGATTCGTTCCTGTTGTCGTTGGGGAATGAGAAAGAGAAATCCCCACTTGTGCATGAGGAGGAGGGATGCTGGCGTCGGCGGCCCAGCGCTTCCTTGATTTTCTTGATCTTCCATATCTTCTTCCACGGGAAGCCTTCTTGGCTCCTTTGTTCTTGCAAAAGCCCTGGAGAATGAGGATCCAGGACATCGAACACTTCCTCCGTGCCATCCTCATACTTGAAGATGATTGTGACTGTGCCGTCCTCATTAAGCTTGTAGATGTGTTCGACTACAACCTTGTCGTCGAGTTCTTTTTCGGTTGTCTGCTTCCCCATGACTTGAATCGAAGCAAATGCATCCGAAGTTTCAGCGGGTTGCGGTGGCAAACCACAGGTTTCGGACACACATCCCTCGCACAAAGAAACGAAAGGCTGCAGCAACAGCAGCACCCACAGCATCATTCTCGCCGAGTGAGTCTGCGTTTACCGATAGGGATAGGGTATCAACTTGGGAATGAGGCTTGAGCCAGCATTGCGGAAGTAACAACAGCTTTCCGCACAGCCATACAGAGATTCTTCCACATTCTGCCTCGCCAACACTACGCTGAGGCAAAACACTTTGCACAAGAGGAAGACGGTCCATGCACAAGTCACAAAGACATTTCCAAGATCGAAGGAATGCAATTGCATTTTAAAAAAACTTAAGGCACATGCAATGCGAAGTTCCATTCAATCCCTGTCTGCCCCTTCCACCAAATGGACCAGCCTCTGTTTTGATGTTGTCGTCCCAGAAGCAAGGCGGCGCATTGATCAAAAATGTGGGTAATCATCATCCTGTTGGAATATTTGGTAGATGGTATCGGGATCTTTGTGAATGTCTTTGTTGCTCTTTTTCCGAGGTTGTTTTTCTGCGGGCGAAATGGATTCAGGGGATTTTGTGGCGTGCCAAAGTTCATGAATTCTGGTCTTCGGATTGTGGGTAGTGTATCACGCTGTTCTGAAATGATGATCAAAATTGGGTATGCGAAATGGACAACCCCTACGCAAGTAATGTATACCCGCCGTGAATTGTATCTGTTCAACAAGCTTGGTGAACTTACAGGGGCCAATGAGTCCTTGTTCTTTGAATGGCTGCGGTCCTGCGGTGTTGTTTCCCCGTGGCAGTTGTGTTTGCAGTCTGCAAGATGTTTACAGAAGAGTTTCCGGAGTTTACCTTTCTCATTCAGTGCGACTTCGTTTGGAAGGCAACATTTCTGCTGAAATTGCTGCTCAACTTTGCCATCAACATGTGCCTGAAACAGAACGGCCTGACCTATGACTTCCGCGTTCACGCTCTCTGAGTAGCTTTCAGCTTACACGACAGGGAAGGTCTCAAGGATTCTTTCTCTGCTACAAATGTCTTCCTGATCTAGCTCAAGTCAGCATCGTTCTATCTGTCTTTTCATACCATTTGACGAACAATTTCACATCCCAGCCTTAGCCCAGGGTAGATCAGCGCTTTTCACATCTCGCCAATCGATTCTGGGACGCGGTTTGGACGGCCTTTTCACTAGCTATGAAGCAACGTCAGTGACAGCACACCATGGCTTGGTGATGGACCAACATCCGTTCGAATACTTGGGATGATCTTCCTAGTGATAAGGATTTTAAATCAAGATGTGTTTCTTTTTGATGTTGTTTAAAATCTTTGAAATGCTTTGAAACCACCAACCAGATAAAATGCTCTCAGCTTGGAAAGCAGCGGCAAGCCTCACCAAAAAAAGGCCCAGTCGCGAGTCGCGGCTCGCATCGATGCCGCGCGTGCTATGCGTAGATTCGCCTCTATATGTTTTTACTATCTACATTTATCTATGTACAGAATGATAATTCACCCATCTATAATCTATCTTCACAATATGTTAGTGCATATAAACATATATTTTTTAAAAAAAAAACATATACAATTTACATCACAATTGTGGTACTGCACCAATTTCTGTGCCATGTGTCATGAGATCCAGTCCTCGTGTGCACAAGCCGCCCATGGAGAACTCACGACATCCGAGTTCATGTTGTCTTCCAAGTGTCGGCTGTAATTTCCAGCAATCGGCCAATGGTAAGTCAAATCACCGGAAAACCTAAGCCACACATGACAAAGCAGTAGGTTTTGGAGTCAAAATGTTGTAACTGTTCCACAGATTTCCACAGTTTCGCAAATCTAAAGGCTGGATTTGCAGATACCTTGATCCAAAGGCAGAAAGACGCCAATGCCATGGTTGCAAGTCCCTGTCACAGACATTTCGCACCGAACCCCTGGCACCTGCCTGATAATCAACAGTCGCTGTCACCTGTTTTTCGGCAAGGTGTACGAGGTTTAGCATGGTTTAGCGATCCATGGCGATCCGACAAACTTTTCAGATGCGATCTTCCAGTTCTTTCAATAGCAAGAAAAAATGAGAAACATATGCTCTACCTGTGTTGGTTTGGGGCCGTTTCACCGCTTGAAACATCATTGACGTACCTAAGCCAATGTGTTTTATGGTGCGCTAGCTTCCGAAATCGGTCGAAAAAACGCGGACGTGCAGGACTTCAACAGCATCAAGAGTAGTGTCCAGGACAAACATGATCCCACTGCACCCCGCCCGGTCTCCTGGCTGTTTACTTGGAATTCTCGCCCACTAAATCAAATGACAATTACATAAATATATTATATTGTGAACAATTTTAATCCTTGTTCCCGGATATCTGGTTGTAGTTGTTGGAGTCCCTAACGTCCTATAGGAGTCCAGGCAGCATTGCTGAGCGGCGCAAACACCGTTTTCCCTTGCGACTTGAGCCAGATATTTGGCGTCATGTCAGGCCTACTCCACATGCTTATACATGTGTGCAGTACCGTTTAGTTCCCTTTAGCACCCCCCATGCCTACGGTGGCTTCGCACCGCAGGCACGAGAGTGGGAACTTTGAATTATACTGTTTGTGGTGCACGAATTACGCCTTTGTACACGCAAATCCATTCAGCTCCCCTTTCACCCACACCCGACGAGCGTAGTGGATCCGGGGTTGCCTACTCTCTGGCATGCAATGCGTCAGCGCAAGTTCGAGCTGTACAACGCAAATTATCACTAGCTTGCAGCTACTCTACGATTACGGCTTCGCAAGTCACTCCATCGACGACGGAAGTTGACTGCTCCACCAAGAATAGCAATTGACGCTAACTAGTGAATTCACGTGCACATTGCTAAAAAGAAAATCGTGCAGATTGGGAATAGTGAGAACATGGAACCTAAGCGAATTAGTCTACTGCCTCGCTCAGAGTCCTCTCAATTGGTCTTTTCCTGATCATCTGTTCACAAAGACGATAGACATCTTATAGTCCAGTGATCACTTGGATGGACAGAGGTGGTTGATTTACTCCTCACGGCGGACTTTCTTCCACTGAGGTGTCGTTTGAGATTTCTCCCAACCTGCCGCACGTTTCGGAGCAGCTTTCGGCGATGCTGGTTTCGCAGGTGGTGCTTTAGGTGGTCCATAAGACTTCGGCATGGCCTTAGCCTTTGGTGCACTGGCCGATGATGACGCTGAACCGGTATCTTCAGGTTTCTGTGAAGGCTGTGTTGATGATCTGGCTTTCGCGTCCGCAGCAGCACGCTTGGTGCTGGCACTGTCCCCGACTGCTTTGAATACTTCACCTACCACTTCGTCCCCCAGGTTCGGAGCCATCTTTATTTTCATTTCGGACTTTCCCCTCATCGCCTCGGACTCAGCGAATTGAATGGCGTAAGCAATCTTGCCGATGAAGTTGCGAGGTAATGGAATACCGCATTGTTGGGCAGCGAAGAGTAGTTCCACCCTTTGTTCCTTTTCTCTCAGACTCAGATATACCGAGAAAGCTGGGAGTTCAATGCAGTTGGGGAAGCCGTGGCTCCCGGAACGAAAGAAGGTGTATGACTCATATTCGGGAAAGGTTCCCTTCATCAATCGTCGGAGGAAGTTGCTAATGGTCACCCTCATCTCCTGCTTCTCCTTTGCATCTCCCTGCATCTTCGTCATTGGCATGAGGAAACCTAAGGAATCGGGAGTGTACCCGGCACAGATGAGAAACTCCATCATCTTTTCGTAAACTTCTAGAGTTTTGATGACAGGCATCATCATGTTTCTCGGCCGTCCAGAGTACATCAATTCTCCCTCTGACCATGAGTTCGTCTTCCCTTTCTCCTGAAAGAGTGCGTCCAATTCCTGCTCAGTCGGCCGCTTGAGTTTGCCGTCCTGATCTTCGCCCGTGTAGGGGCAGAAGTCGTCCAGGTCCAGTCGGACTCGCTTGGTGACTGTCATCAACGCATAGTATTCCTCTGGGGTCAAATTGACTCTCTGGTTGTAGTAGAGTCTGAACATTGCGATGATCTTTGACATCACGGCATTGTCGTACAAGTGAGCCGCGGCCTCGGAGACATCATTGTTTACTAGTCCATCTCCTGGCAAACCCTTGCTTCCAGGAACAAGATTCTTGGTCCATACTGGCAGGTCGTCTGAAGGCTCTTTCTCAGGTTCGACGTTCATGTCATCATCGTCGTCCTCCTCAACGATCTCGTCGTCTTCCTGCTGAGTCTCTTCCTCCTGAGCCATTTCCTCGTCATCGCCTTCGTTGTAGTTGACTTCGTCAGGATTGAAGCCGTAATCGTTGGGTTCAGGTACGTTTTCCTGTGCTTGGTGGACCGTATCCTCGAACAACGATTCTTCCTGTCGGCGAACCTCCTCGTCGATCTCTTTCTTGGTGGCTTCGTCTTCATCGTCTTCAGGAGCTTGTAATCTATAAGGTCGGATTCCACAGCTCTCAAGCTCTGTCCAGCCTCCTAGACATACTGCCAATTTCGTTGGCGTCTCATTGAGGCAATGAGGGCAATGACGGCAACCTGAAGTTTCCACCCTCTTGCGCTCGACGATGTAGTCGACCAGCTTGATGCGGGCGAGGTATTGTTCTTGTCCACCCTCTTCAATTAGATTGTTCCTGAACTGGTGGACGATGTTCATTGCATCCATGGTGATCTCGTCATACGGTTGCTTTTCGGCGTCGATGCATTGACTTGCGATCCTCAGAATGGACTCCTTGGTGGCGACAGTTCTTGACTTGACAGTGCCTGACCGGACTACCTGGTCGTCGCCCGACGGAACGAACAACCGGTGCCATGTCTTGTTGTTTTGATCCTTTGGATCTTGAATCCATCCTCCTCTGATCGCTGAGAACGGGATGATCTTTGGCGTAACGATCTGTCCCGAATCCGTCAATCGACCACCGTACTCCACCATCAGGGTCTCGGTCGGGATGTAGAGGCAGATGTAGTCCCCTTTTCGTGTGTCAACGCTCTTCGTGATAGTCCATGAGCGATGATCCCACGGCACGTATGGATTGAAGAACGTGAACATACGATGACCTTCCCCAAGACCTCCAGGAATCAGTCCTTCCCTCCAAATGCTTCGAAGGTTGGTCTTCTTCGTGATGTGGAAGCAAACCGGCATTGACATGATGGTATTG